ACTGTACTAGCCTGCCAATACAATCCATATCCAAGCCTGATTAGTGCGATCACATCACACTGTCTTGTTCTTTATTTATATGAACCATAGATGAATGAATCTTGCGTAAACCGTCCATAGTGCTTTATGCTACAGCTTTCAAAGCGTTGAGAATTAATCATCTCAGTCAAGTCCTCTTTGAAGGAAGCTTCAATGATGTGTGAAATCCTAGCAAGAGGTACTCTAAGATCTGTATCCACGCTTTTCTTGTCACTTGCTTATCTTGCTAGGCATGATCATCCTTAGGAATTCCAACGTGCGATGGAATCCACACAAAACGTATACCATGGCCTCGTTTTTTTGCACGATCCACGTTTATCCTGATTCCATTTGCAATATTTCCTGCACCTTTGTCTAGAGTGTTCAGAACTTGGAGACCACTCTGTGAATCGTAGGAAATTACCCCTGAGCTTCGATTCAATTGAAATTCGGTTGCCATGAATATTTCAGCCAACTCATTTTGCGTAGTGCTAGCCCAGTCATGAACCTCCTACAATCCTGGTTCTGCAAAATATTGTATATCATAGAATTTAGGTGCAAAGGCCGTAGACTTTAAGTTGGTGACTATTGAAAAGATGTATTTGGATATGTGTATTAATATCTATATCTATATATCTGTATCTCTCAATGTCTTCATCTCCATCTATCTGTTTATCTACATATATACATACATACAGATACATAGACAGATATAGATATGCATACGTACATACATATCTATATGTGTGTGTGTGTGTGTGTGTGTGTGTGTGTGTGTGTGTGTGTGTGTGTGTGTGCACAAACACACACACACACACACACACATATTATATATATATATATATATATATATATATATATATATATATATATATATAAATATATATATATGTACGCATGTATGTGTGTATGTATGCATGTGTGTGTGTGTGTTAGTACGTGTGCATGTGTGTGTGCGTGTGTGTGTGTGACACACACACACACACACACACACACACACACACACACACACACACACACACACACACACACACACACACACACACACACACACACACACACATATAGATAGATAGATAGATATACATATATGTGCGTATATATATATAAATGTATGTATGTATGTATACATACATATATTCATATATATACATATTTATGTATTTATCTAGCTAGCTCCTCTCTCTCTATCTATCTATCTATCTATCTATCTATATATATATATATATATATATATCTTTATCTCTCTCTCTCTCTCTCTCTCTCTCTCTCTCTCTCTCTCTCTCTCTCTCTCTCTCTCTCTCTCTCTCTCTCTCTCTCTCTCTCTCTCTCTCTCTCTCTCTCCCCTTCTTCTCTCTCTGAGATACACCAACGATATTAATTCCATGATGCATTAACGCATGCAGCGCCACGACATACCACATTACACAGGGAATTGGCTTCGATGATCATAAACTAGGACAACATAGCGGGGACGGGTAACCTACATTTTATAAAATCATATCTTTAAATACTACAGCCTGTAAGATAGTCCGTGAGCAAGTGTCCAATCCGGCGCAGTCTTAATCACACTCGCTCTGTATATTACTGCTTTCGGAACGGGAACTGGAGGGTTAGCTTTTGACTTCGTGATTTAATCATGATTCGATCTTTACAGTTCATGTAATGTGTCTCAAGAATGTTCAGTGTCAATCTTTTACGGAATAACTTGCCTCTCTAGGATGAGTAGACATAATGCTATGGATATTTTTGTTGCGTTTATCCTCTCCCTCACCTCGAAAAAAATACCTTAATTTTCTTGATGGAATCTCAAATAACATTGAGTTACAGAAATATTCACCGGGAATTTTCCCAACGAAGAATTTTAAAAGTCTACTCTAATCCTACAGTGGATAGTTTATAGTACATTTTTGCCACATGGTAGTGTAGGTTGATGCATTAAAACGTTTGCATGTGTTATCTTCCTCCATGCTTGCTGCTACCCAACGACCCTTACTGAAAGGAGTGCATGAGAATGAATATTTTTTACTGTGCAGGAAATGTATATTTGAATGGTTACGATTATATCTTCGTTAGTGTAAACTGCTATGTAGTTAGATTACCACATGCAGGGATAGTGATAACTCGAACTGAAATCCTTGCCACACTACTAACTGCGAGTACTAAAAGCTCATTGTTGAAAGTCATATGCAACATAAAGAAAATGAAGTTAATGCTTTTATGTTATAGTTCTATATATGTGTGTGTTGTGTGTGTGTGTATGTGTGTGTGTGTATACATACATATCTAGATACATATATATAATATACATATATATAAAGCTACAAGTAATACATGCGACTTTTGATCAGATAATCTTTTGTAAATAATTTTCATTGGTATACCTGTAAAATAAAAGATTAAAGATCTTGGAAAAAAAAATCTTTCAATTGGATTTACTTTTATACACCGATAGGAGCACTTCACAGGATATTCGTGAAGTCGTTGCATAATGAAGATAAAAAGACGTCGGTAGTACCTAGCAATATGACCTTTCATAAAGAGAAGAGATACAATACCCGTAGTAACATCTGACGACACCTCAGTGCGAGGCAATTAATTCTATGTTGTTCACTTCTTTCCTGGTCACAAACCGGGATTAATTCCTGTCGCGAGCCAGCATACGTTAGTTGTTGCACGGGCCTGAAGGTCTGCAAGAGGACCTCTTCGGGTTAAGTTCTTCTTTGTGTTCCTATCAGTACATCTTCCTACTTACGTGCTGGGTTATGCAAGCGTTGATCGGCCGGCGTCCAGCTCTGGCTTTCATCATGCGTTCTGTCATATTTTTTTATGGGTTAATAGTTCCGATTGTGAGGGAATAATCTTGAACATCAATCTAGTTTGTGATTTGAATCGGTATCTTTTCAAATAAACGAAATATTACTTGAGGCAATTAATTTCTAGATCCTTCAGACGAGTTTGTGATAGAAGAGTTACTTACCATTTATAAGAAATGCTTTTGCTTTGTCTAACGATACAGCTTGGGTGATTGGTTGTTATCTACGGCGCAATTACAACATCCAAGTCTGTTCATCAATACACACACATACACACACACACACACACACACACACACACACACACACACACACACACACACACACACACACACACACACACACACACACACACACACACACACACACACACACACACACACACACACACACACACACACACACACATACGCACATATATATATAATGCATGCTTTATAGTTTTCAATTTTTAAATAACGGTCACACTAGTCTTGTTTTTTTTCCAGGGAAACCCCGACAGAGAAGACCACATAGTGTCCCCCCGTAGAGAAACATCGTCCCAGAAAAGGCCATAGTGTCTACAGTAGCCTCCTGAAAGAACCATGGTTCATCGAAGACAGTCGTGGATTCTATGAGTATCACCGCATATCGGTTGAACATTTCAAGAAAGAAGACACTAAACTTTATATAGTTTATTGATTATCACACAACCGTGCCAGTTACCCCGATACCCGATATTTCAAAAGAAAAAGAAAATCCGACAGTAAACTTTTAAATAGCATTAACCGTTATTAGCGTAACTTCCTGCTATCATGATATGTGTAGATGGTATTCCATAGTTATTCTCTGGCTCTCATTTTGCCGCTAGATAGTAAATCATTTCTGAAGTGAGGTCCGTGTGTTCAGCGAGACGTAGTAGGTGTTTGTTCAAATTCATTGATCAAATGAACGTTTGTCTGGATAAATTTTAGTGAGGTATCATTGTTGGTTGTAATATATAGTACTCATTTCTACAGTGTTATTATACCTAAGACTGGTTCTTAATCTGGGGGGCCTCGGTAATTTCCAAGGGGGCGCAAGCAGGAATTTCTTTAATTATATTTGTTATTCTCTTAACGAGAGAGAATAATTATGTGACTAATT